ACCACGGGCGGGTATACACCGCGCAACTTGTAGTTAGGTCAGTGGCCGTCGCCAGGCAAGAAAATGATTAAATTGTGTTAAATTCCTTTTCTGCCATGTCGGAGGCATTATTAGCTGGCTGGGGATGTTTTTGCAAGCAATAGGCCGATTGTGGGAAGCGTGTCAGCCTGGATCCGGTTTCCCAACCTCCTTTCAGATTCTTTTTTTGTCTTGAAATGAATGAGTACTCGTACTGAGTACTGCTGCTGCAACATTCTGGAGACTTGTTGACTCAAAGATCTCCAACTGCTTGAGCAACGATGCGGGGGTATGTGGTGCTTACGGACCCCCAGCTGAGAAAAACTTGGCAACTCCACCAGCAGCCAGCAATTACTCTCTCCGTGGTTTTCCAGTGGCAGCTGAAGACCAGCTCTCAGGCATTGTAACGAAGCATAGCGGCATAGCTCTCAGGTCCAAGATTACCGTTAGGCCGCATTTAGACGCGTGGACCCCCAGATTGTGTTTGTGTTTGCCACTTATACAGCTCTTGACAGCTCTTTGAGACTGGGCGAATGGCCTTGTAGGTGTGGAGCGTGGGGATGACCATCTGCGAGCTGGCAACGCTAGATGCCGCTCCACAGAAACATCTCTCTCTCTCTCTCTCTTTCACGCAGTTGCTAGCAACGCTTGTCACATTTCTGTCACGTTTTCACGGACATCTAGGCCGTGCTGAAGCCGATGTATGCCAACTTCCTCCGGAACGGCCACTCCCACCGGGAGGCGAAAGAGAAGGGGGGGAGACCTATGCTGCGCTGAGCGCGAAAGCCTCTGAAAGCCACCTTCGAGGCCGGCTTCCTCTTCATGGACTGGCTCGGGAGCATCGCCAAGGCCGTTAACAAAACGGAAGCAAAGAAGAAGAAGAAGACCCTTTCAAAAAGAAGACGGAAGAAGAAGAAAGCTGCTTTTCGCTTTGCTGTGAAGTAGGCGCCCATTCCCAAAAGCATCGAGCGGCCAGGGCCTGATGCGGCTGGCTGTCATTGCACGTCTTTCTCAATTCCCTTTAGAGGTTCGACCCAGCCTTCCACCAGATGCTTATTGGGTCCCTCTTGGTCTGCGATCACACGAAGAGGCAGAGATGTTTAGGTCGCAGGTGAGATCTCCAGATCTCGTAGTCTTTGGCCTGCCCAGTGGCCAGGAAGACCCTGGCCCAGTGTCTGTCAGATCTCTACCTGGAGTCTGACAAGGACAAGGCCCGGCCCTGCGGTCCTGCGGTCGTAAAAGGGATGTGAACGGGTCTCGCAGCATGAAGCAGCTTGCAGCTTCAACACTTGAAGCTCCGAAAAGCACGTGCTTTTGGAAGTTTCTCCAACCTGCAGGTGGCAAAGGACGCCACCGTGGAGCATCGGGAGTCGGAGCGAAGTCAAAATGTCAGTCCAAAATGCAAAAACATGCAAAAGCCATAGAGACAGCCCAAAGACCCCAATGCCTCATTCCGCAGGAAGCCCCGCCGCTTCCTGTCAACGAGAAAGTGGACCGCACCACCAGGAATCGCATCGAGGACACCTCCAGCAAGGCGAAGCTTGCGAAGCTTTTTCATGTCCGATGTGTGTTGCTCTTGGTCCCTTTTCGCCCAGGCGCCGCTGTACAAGGGCACACTCTGGAAGCTGAACACCGATGGGAATCCGCAGGCAGAATTCGGCACGTTTGGAAAGCTACGATGAAAGCGATTCATGATTCAATGATGTGAGTTGTTTCTCAGGATGCCACGCATTGGTTGAAGCGTGACATGTGGGTCCCTGGCTCGCTGGCCCGTTGTTTGAGGGAGGCGTCCATCCGTTCCTTTTTTTCTCAGGTCGCCTTCAATGGTTCCTTGTGCTACTTCAGCATCAAAGAGAACAAGCGCCTGACACTCAAAACTCCACTGACTGCTCAGGAGACGGCTAGCTAGCGGCTAGCTGGGCGACTCCAAAACAGCTCCTGATCTTCGTCTGAAGTGAGGTTTGGTGCTCGTGGATGGCTCGAAGCTCACCGGCGCCAAGGTGGGAAACGGTGGGAAGTGAAAGTTCTTCGAGTTCCCCGTGTAGACCCCTTATGGGCGCCCAAACGTCGGGGACATGTGTTTTTGGGAGATCACCCTCGAAAAGCCACTTCGTGCCAATTTGTTTTGTTCAAAGGGTTTTGTTCTAGGTCATGCCACTCGTGGGCGCTGCACGTGAGTACGCCTTCAGGCAGGGCTTTGCAAGTGTGCGCAGCTGTGCGTGCAGGATTTGCAAGCTCAGTGCGTTTTGCTGTAGCTTCGTTGGCTGCATTGCCAAGGCTCCAGTGTTACAACCACGATGAGCATGAGAAGGAGGGCAAAGCCTAATGAGAATCGAAGCAATGCATCAAGGATTCAATTTAAGAATTGGCTGAGACCTATGCTCTGGCCTTCTGCCACAGCATCCACAGTGTGTCCAGAGAGTATCCACAGCGTGTTCAAGAAGACTTATGAAGCACATTTCATCGCTTTTTGCTGAATCTTTGCGCTTCGGCCAGCATGATAGAGGCCATGCCCACAAAGAAGGTTCCCATTGCGCGACAGCACAGCGTGTACCGTTTTCTTCTCGAGTCGAGTCTGATTTTGGGATTGGTCTGCGGAGTGCTGAGCTTTGAACTAGGACGTGAACATGTGCTTCTCGGCCGAGTCTCCAGAGGAGCCGTGGGCCCAACATACGTGAGAGCGTGAATGTGAGTGATGTTGTTTGCCTGTAATGTAAGGCCTATAGAGGGCCAAAGATTGGGCTCAGTGACGCGACTAAGTGAGGTACACAAAGTGGACTGGGCTACTGATGCACACCGCCAACATGGACGGTGCTTGCTGTGCTTGCTGTGACCACGGAGGCGGGAGCCACGGAGCTGTGACTTGATGTAGGTGCCATCCAGACGATGCGCTTGGGCGGGGACGTTGCGGCGGAGATCAAGCAGTTTAGGTCCAGATCCCGGCATCTCGGGCATCTCGGCCGAGTCTTCCTCAGTGCTTGATCGAGGCTGAACGTGAAGAACCGGCGCATGAAGGTAGGGGAGGACAAGAAGGATCAGCCAAGCACCGAGTAAGACCGAGTAAATTCAGATTTTGCTGCGACACGGAAATTGCTGCGATCCTCTCAGGTTTGCCCCGGTCTTCAAGGCCAAGCTTTGGAAGGTCAAGGCCGACTCAGCTGACTTCGGCTGACAGATGCGTTTCCAGCCACGTTTCAGCGCCATTCGACGCGCGAGTCAGCGGTCAGCGGGAGTCGGACTTGTGTCAGGCTGACGGCGATCGACGGAAGGAGGAGGACTGGTTTGGGACCCGGGAATGCGGGGGAACCCGGGAGCTCCCGAGAGCTCCCGAGAGCTTGGGAGCTAAGACCGGTAGGCCACCGGTCGGCCGGTGGCCAATCAGCCAATCTGTTCTGAGTTGAAGCATGCCCTCATGCTTTGCTTGCTTTGCTTGCTTTGCTTGCTTTGCCTGCCTCTGTCCACTGCCTGTGCTTTGCAGTGCTCTGCTGAAACGAGGTTTGAGCGGGAGATGTGGATTGCAAAGAATGGCAGCCTTGTGTACTGGAGCAAGAAGGAGGATCGGTGACAACAAATTGGGAGACAAGCTCCTGAAAATGCTTGGCGCAGCGGCGCAGCTTTCCCGCTCTCAGGACCGGGACCTGGTCTACTACACCTCGGCTGCTCGGCTATGCCAGCTATGCTCCCCTACATCTGCTTTAATCTTCTCGAATCCTTTCCGGCAAGGATGACATCGCACGGGCGACCATCACCTTGATTCCCAACGATGATAGCTTCATCCCATGGGCATTCCAGGCCTCGATGCCAGCATGCCATGCGGGACTCGCGGGACGGGACCGGACGGGACCTATGTCCTGCTCAAGGTGCATTTGCCCCCCATCGGGGAAGTGGAGTTCACTCCCGGGGAGTTTGCGGCCGAGTCCGAGGTGGGGAGAGTAAATCTTTAACTTCCCAGTCCGAAAGGAACCCGAAAACCAGCCCGAGTCTCTTGTGGAAGCCTCTAAGCCCTGCGAAGACATCGCAGCTCAGGATCGCAGGAATCGCAAGAATTCTAATCGGTACCCCGAGTGTTTTTTGCTGGCAGAGCTGAAAGAAGGCTTGAAGCCTCGCGAATTCACACATTTCACACACCGCTTTTGTGTTTAAGGTTGCCCATCGGGGAATACCGTATCACCCCAGGGTTGGCTCCAAGGTGAGCGGGAACTCTGGAGCTTTGCTAAGATCAGTGATACTGCTAAAGGCGGGACTAGATTGGGAAATGTTCTGCTTTACACCATGAGGAACGTCATCTATGGGGTTATGCTTCGGTGGCATGCCTACGACGATTGAATCAAAACAAAATTCGAAGGTAACACTGTCAACCCTAAAAACGCCTAGCCTCCTGGCCCCAACCCTGCCCTGACCCTGAAGCTACCACGTAAGCTTAGGGTCAGGGGAGGCCCTTGCAAGGCACTCGATTTGTGCATCCTTGAGCCAGATCATTCAGCGTGTCATTATCCCTTGTGCAAGGGTTATGGTACACTTCTTGATTTTGTGCTGGGGAAATTACACTCCTCCTCATGCGAGCCACGGAGAGAGCATGGTTTCCGATATCCACAGCACATGAAAACTGTACATGTGCAGCACGTTTGCCCCACTACTGCCGCCCTGTTAGGATGAATATAGCCTATTCCTGACACATGTGATTGAGGTACATCATGCAGCCCCTTCAGGCGAAGCATAAAAGTTAGCTTGAGCTGTGCGTGATCCTGTGGTTTAAGGGTACCGTCAATGGTAGCGGAGCCCTTGGTCTGAGAGGCCTTGGGTTCACCACTCGAGTGGACCACCTTGCGGGTTGCCCCGCAGGTGGAGTACCCTGCGGGCCAGCCCTGCGAATCCGCCCTGCTCCCTAAAAGGCTGCGGGTTAGCCCCGCACCTCAGGGGCCATAGGCATTACAGCGCCCAAAAAGGACAAGGGGAAGAGGCAAAGCAGGGCAAATTATAGCGAGGTCACCCGAGGTCACCCGAAAATAGTGGAATTAACGACCCCGACCCAAAACTGAAACTAACCGACAGCTTTCAGGGTTCTTCGTCTTGCTTTGGGACCGTTTATATACCACAGCTCCACTAAGCAGAGGGCGGCCTGCAAAGCTTTGGGAGGCCTTGGGAAGGGGATCATAAGAAGAGGCTGTACGAGGCTGGGCCCTGGGAGAGGCCTTGGGGAGCAAAACGAGCTCATTTCAATAAAATAGGTCACTGCTCCTCTATTTCTTATTATGGTAGAGCACAGCTGAGGGTCTTTACTTCTTATCATGCTATAGCATAGCTGGGTCGGAGGCTGGGCCCTGGGAGAAGCTCTGGGAGGTTTGGGAAAGGGCGACTTCAAGAAAACAAATCTATTTCAGTGAAATAGGTCGGTTCTGGCTCCTCTAGCTCTTATTACAATATACCACAGCCTCTTGAAGTCTGGTAGCACAGCTGGGCAAGTCGCCCACAATCCCACTGTGTCTACAAAACCCTTCTCCTTTCGAGCCCCCGCGCGTGGGGCAATCTAGGGGTACCTCCGCGTGGACAGAGCCTCCCCTGAAGAAGAGCTCCGCTACCACGTGGGGTTGTGTAATAACCCCCCTCCTGAGAATTTAGTCAAGCCTCGTCCTTGGTCAAGGGATTGTTGTCGGGAGCCCCAAAAACGATAACAAGAAAAAAACGATGACGTGGATTTTGGCATGAGCAAGTTTGCCATGTCATAGGTCATCGGACGCGCACATGGAAAGCTTCTACTATAATCTAATATAATCTACTATAATCTACCGTAGACTACCTTAGCCTAGTACACCCTATTATAGTCCGGTATATTTCATAAGGACCTCTTATAATTTACTATAACCTACCAAAATCTGATATATGTACTAACATTTGCTATAACCTATGGTAATCTTCTATAATCTACTATAATCGACGCCAATCTACTATAGTAAGGGCTGTGCTCACTTGATCTTTCTTGGCAATGCGTGCCGTGATAGCGATACTTGCTAGGCAACACG